ATTAGTCTTTCAAATTCACCTCAGCAACAACTACCATCCGATTAGTGGCACGAGTTCTACACATCACCCTCAATGATCCATTTGTTGCTGCTTAATCCCTCAGGCTGCTCGAGCTGATAAGAGAATAACCCAAAAATTGACGTCCTCAGAATAGTCGTAGGATTCTCCCTAAGAACAACCTCAAAGTAGTCAATCTCTACCAAAACTCTTCCTGTCACATCCAGAGGCCTTCGTTTCTTGCTTTGCATAGAATCAATATAACCAGGAATGTCCAACTTCACAAAATTCAAAATGACCTAGTTATTGGTCAATTCAATCGATCCCCTCCAAGTACAACTCACTCTTTGGAGCCTAAACAAGAGGAAGGGACTGTTGACAGACAACAGTCGAGGCATAATTCTATTACAAACCAAACTGTCTGGGAATGGAAGAAGGAGAACTTAAGAAGAAGGCTCGTAAGCAAACTCCAACAACTCGGATACGCAGTGAGTTGTAGTTGCACTAAAACTGGTCTTATCATCAGAAGTATCAGTGCCGGGTTTGAACGAAGTATCAAGAAGAGCCCTCAAACAATGGAAGACAACATCACACACTCTCCAAACGGTGCTTGCAAGACACCAAATACCAAATAACATAGCCTTCCACTGCAACAAGTAAAAGCGGAGGCTAAACGCCTGCAGCTTGTCCCGTCCAGTCAACTCAAATCAAGAAACAAAAAAATTTAGGGTTAGGAAATCACGGCAATAAAATGCTTTACACATTGACAAAGATCCTACAAGGATTTAACAATCAACCCCCTTGTTGAAGACATCCTATAGAGAGTGGAGAGTGGGTTCTACAGGAAGTGTTAGAAATCAGCAAACTGCTCTCTCCGACTCTGATACAGTTATTCGTGAAAGGAGAACGAAAGAGAACTCTATTAGTCAACCTCAACTAATGAACAGTGGTGAAAGGATGAATGGCCAACCATACCACACGTGAACACTAATGACCACTGCTTAGTTTGTTTTACAAATGTTGTATACAAACTTCTGTTTGGCAGCTTACAGATTTTCTCTAAATAAGAAGTGCAAGGTCTTTTGTATATTTCTTTTTACAGGTCCAGCTTTGTCTAGTGTGATAGAATCATGCATGGTGCAGAAACTCACGAGGTGAGTTCAGGAGATAGAGTACAACTTATACTAACGAAGCAGCACATAATACTAGGAGCCCATCGGCCCTGGCTTTGCATCGGTGATTCAATCTGCAACCTGTGGTTTGCAGTGTAGCAAACTCAAGAGCTAGACTCCCTTTGCAACGCAGATGCTAGATGAAGCAAAAATCATCATCTTCTGATCTGGTTGGTTTAGTTCACGTGCAGTGGATTCGATAGCAGCGCTGGCGTGAGTTGTAAAGTTAAGACTTGTAGATTTGTTTACGAGTCCGTCGTCACGTACTCACTCGGAAATTAAACCGAACATTCACAGAATCGAACTTGGGTTTATTCGTTCGCGTGACTTTTGTAAGGTGATTTCAGGGGAGTAAACTGTGCAGTAATCCTTACGGTGGCGCACGTTTCCAAGTCACGACACTCCCATCTGCAGGTGCAGTGTTGTGAACTAAGCAACGTGCTGAGTGGTCGTGAACGATGCTGTCACCCACTCAATTCGAATGATCTATCGGCCACTTCCAGTGGATTAGGAATTCAATTCTATGCAGAATTGCCACACTGGCTACAATCGGTAACTGTACGCTTCACAAAATTCTTGCTGTCTGCTGAACTGGTCAGTAGGTCACCGCGGAATGCCGTGAAATTTCCTTCTCCTTTACGGCTAGAATGTGTAATCGTGCACGCCGAGATCGAAGTGCTGCTGTTGTGTTCGAAACTGCGCTCATATCTCTTAAGTTATGTGAGTTTGGGTGGTATCGCTGACGGTACATGATCATCTCTTTTGAGCATCGTCCACTTCTGGCGAATATTTGTGGAAGTCTATGGTAGTAGATGATCCATGTATATGTTGAAAAATATCAATAATAAAAATCTGTTCTGGGGAATGAAGTGATAGTGCAAGGTGACCATCTACTTAGAAGAATGGATACCAAAGTAAATGAACCGACTAGCATGGCGAGTCAATTGTGAGGAGACTGGGCAGTAGCTGGTGACAACAGACACGGCATTCCTTCGTTCCCAATGCTGCAGGCATCCTGAAGCGGTAGCTTTGTCAAGCTTGCTCCTTGACTTCGACTCTGTCCATTCGTATCGATCGCCATTGTTGTTGATACGGTGCGTGTACACGTCCTCGATCCCCAACTTAAGACTATTTCCCCATTTTTCAACTGTCTCGTTCGTTATATGGTATCTGTTTCTCTTCAGTTACTGTAGGAACTGCTTACATCAAGTAGACTCTGAGCTTTGATGATTACCCTAGCCCCACTTCGATGATCATCTACTCTCACTTCAGACGAGTACATTAGGGTTCACACGCTGCCATTATCCATGCCGAATCGATCACTCATATCGGCTTTGAATGTGAGGCCAAGTTGCGGGAAATTGCAGTTGCAGAAGCAATGTTGAGCTGGATTTTTTTCTCAGCGTGTGAGGAGATTGCAGGTTACGAATGAATTGAATCGACAGAGTTTTCGTATGCTTACGAAAGCATTCGTGGACGGCATGGGAGAAGACGAGCAGCAAGTTTATTTGGGATTTGGTTTAATTACGAGCTTCACCATTGCAACTCTCAGTGGAACGTGGACGCAATAGTGTTTTATGTGGTCGACACGCCCTTCCGCAAGTTCAAAGACCTCATTCCAGGACATCGTGGCCAATATCAAGCATCCTAACAATCAGACCATGAGCTTCATTTTGATCATTAGAGACTTGAGTAGCAAAGCCAAACAACGAGGTCTTATCCCATTGACCGGGGTGGGAAGCAACATACGCAGCGACGCACCAGCACTTCAAGCTGAATGGTTGCGCTGCGAAGAGCGTGTCCAACCAGAGCGAAGTGAGGACGTGCGAATCAGTTGAGGCAGATGAGGTGGGCAGGGGCGAATCAGTTGAATCAAATCTTTTGCGACAAAAGGAACCGTTATCTGACAGTACCTGCGGCACTCACCCTTAACACCTTGAGAAGTGCGGGATTCTTTACATGTTAGTCGTCAGTATTTGATGCACTCTATCGGGAACCGTTGGTGGGTATCGATGAAGTGCGACAGTAAATTGGAGTGAGTGATAAGAGCGAGATATTTGTTGGTGATTCGTGTAGAAGCACTTTTCAATCGAGTGTGTTTTTTTTTATTGAACCCAGATCCAGATATGTAGAGACTATATCAATTGCAGTCAGTCAAAGGAGTGGACAAATTTAGAACTCTGTTGATTACCGATAGATCTTTACAGAATCATGGTTGTGATGAAGCCATGTTAACCTAGCAAAATTCTATTGGTGAAAGTTGATGGTTGATATAAGCTTTTAGAACAGAGATTTCTTAGCGGTTATCTCATGGCCAAAACTGCAATTTATGTATTTCTGCTTCATTATCTTGTCAGCTTTTGGTAGCATGACAGACATATGAGACGTATTCTTTGAAAAGCTTCCAATAATTTGTGCAAACGTCCTCATTTCATGCTACGTGGCAGGAATCATGGTTTTGAGTGCCTCTTGCCTTGACTCAATGTGCAGAATCTTGCACAGCCGAAGCCTAGTGTAGCGAGCTTCTTAGGAAGTACTTAGTATGGCCCCTCGATGCCGCACAAACAATATGAAAATTCATTCACGGAGAAATGTTTGGAAAGTGACATGTATTATCCAGCTAGTACCATGTGGTGAGCAATTTGTCATGGGTGTTGAGTGTAGAGTCCAGAAGACATTCATCCTTGCAGAGTACTTTCTCGTGTGTGTGAGATAGGTCGTTACTTCTAACAAAGTGTTCTACGTAATCAATGAGGTCAACCATAATATGGTCTACTGAATCTCTTGATATCCAGCAATCAGCGTTTGCTGACGTGGAATAACTGAGGTATTTGGATAACTTTGCCATGTTTATTCCTTCGCTTACCGAAACTGTGGTGTGTCGTCCATCCTACATGCTCACTGTGCTCACTATTTCAATCAATTAATGACTTTCTTAGGTTTACTCAATGTGAGAATGTCCCTTCGAAGAGGAATGTTAACTTCAGTGTTGACAAAGACTCTAGTCTACGTTAAAAACTGGAGGTAAATGTCAGAGCAGCCAGCTCAATTTGTGTGAGAATCTAGAGGGTTGGGACTTCAGAGTTGGCGACTATTGCTTCATGTGCTGTACCTATGTGAGATTGCAGCAGAACATAATGACTTACCCTATCTTTCTTACAAGATGAAGGACAACAACCAGTGGTGGTACTACAGATCTGCAGTGGCGTGCGTGTCAAATAATCTCATATCAGTTTAAAGACATTGCTAACATGAGATTAGGTCAGTAGTTCACTGTCAGACTCACTTTCTATTGCCACTTACGAAAGGTCCATGTAAGTTAACAAAAGAATTCGGTCTGTACTTCATTGTCAGACTTGTATTGCCACTTACGAAAGGTGCATGGGAGTTGAGTAATTTACGTTGGAAACACTCTACAACTCTAGCACACCCACTCTCACTGTTTTGATAGTGAATTCAGAGTTGTCCTGCGCTCATTTACGACAAACACTTGCAGTGGCACACATGGTTCCCATCATAAATGTGTGGCTTCACGTTGCCATGTTTTTACGCAAAGTGGGTATGATCTTCGACCATCGAGCTACATAAAGCACTGGCTGTTTGCATTACATCATCCACTCTTTGGAAGTCTTAGTCGGAAACCATGCAAAGCTGCAATTGAACATCTAGCTAAGTGCTAGTGTTGGCTATAGAGAGTAAATTTAGATAGTAACTGATTGAAGTCTGTGAGAAACGCTTGATACCGCGAATATTCAGGCGGGTCCTCACAGGATGGTGACATTGCCAATGTCCAAACTAGGGCTGGTGAGTTTCTAAATCTTTCTGGCTTATTTGTTCCATGAACGCATTAGAATTGACTAACAGTACACGACCAGCCTAAGCACATTATTTTCTGAAGCACTTTCATTATCCTCCCTCGCCAACTTGTGAAGATGAGACAGAATTGAGAGACAGTTTTGCCCGTGCCCCTGGCAGCAGTAGCCGTGCCAGAGGAGGCCGTGCTTATTAATTCCTCATGTGGAAAGATATGGATTGAGACCAGACCAGTGTTTATTATTCTTTAACGTGATGGAGCTGACCTTGAACTGACCACTGCATGGTGTCGAGATCTGGTTCACTGCCTTCCTGCTCCCTTATTCCAGGATTATACCGACCCTTCAGTATTTCTCTCTGGATCTGTCGGCAATTGAGTCTTGCGATTCTATCTTTCCTCTAAAACCTAGGTGCTCAACTTTGTGTTTGGTAGGGGTTAGCTGTGTGGATGATTCAGTCTCAGTAATAAGTTACCTAGGTACCGAGAGGTTTCAGGTGGCGAGATTCGTTGCATGTTGAGTGTACGCAATTTGAACTTGAAAGATGCTGCATATGTTATCTATGTAGTGTTTTCGCAACTGCTGGCTCTGGTAGTTGTATATTAAGAGCGTCCTGCCCAGATATAGGCTGCTGAACGCATAAAAACTTTCAGGATCTCGTAACCACTGTCATCAATACATCCATTTTGATTGCGGTGGAAGTTGTTTAGACTGCTCATATCGTTTGGAGAATGTGTTAGTGTCCTATTTCGAATAAAGGGTTTCAAGCTTCTTTTTCGTTAATACCCAAGCTGATAAACGTTGCCGGAAGAATGCACACATTGTACAGATGGTTGACAACTCGAACCATGCGAACAAGGTGTGCAAAAACAATCGGGTCTAAAATAAAACATTTAAAATTTGAAATCTCATTAGTACCTCTTGACCGCAAACTGTTCAGAGAAAAGTACTTACTGTGGGTAATCGTCACTTCAAGACAGAGACTAGTATAGCACCATTTCATGCATGTGAAGACGCTGATCACATTGTTTGCGGCAAGTCCCACTGAAGGATCTATGTGGTGTGTAGGCTGCAATAGATCTAAACCAAGGATGGGTAGCAGCAAGAGCATCGGATGTGAGCCAAGGTGGAAAGGAGCTCACAACCGGCGAGGTCATTCCAGCTGTCGAACCCAACACCCCATGGATCAAAGGAGTTGTGCCTGGGACGTAAGTGAAAGGTTTTGCCCCCATTTCACAATCCTAGTTGTATTAGGTGCACTAGAAGACGCTCAACTGACGGTAAGCACATGTATGCAGGATTTTAACGACACTGCTGAGCAATGGCCTTATCGCTGATCCGCTGTATGGTCTCAACAATGAAGCTATTCCCGACATGGGGGACGTGGGCCGGGAGTATTACACTTTCTGGTTCTACAATAGCTTCGAGCTGGCGGCTCCCATTCCGGAACATGGCAAAGTGTGGTTGCAGTTTCGAGCAATAAATTACCAAGCGGAGGTGTTTTTGAATGGGCACAGCAAACTACTCTCCAAGGGCATGTTTTTGCGGCACACAGTGGATATCACTGATTGGATCAACAGTGATGGGGGAGTGAACCGCCTTGCGGTGCTTGTGCATCCTCCCGACCACCCTGGCCACATACCACTTGAAGGGGGTCAGGGAGGAGACCATGATGTGAGAGCTTGAAAACTTCACCTTGAAAAGACAGTGTTGGGATTGTCACAGCGCTCAATACATAGCAATTTTGAGTGTCAGAATTTTTTACGAATGTTTTACTTCTGGAGGAGGCTGCCAATTAGATCCCAAGTGAATATTCTCCTAACGTAATTGCCTATGTGGTTTGACCCTTGTGACGCTTTGTTAGATTGGCAAAGACGTTGCAGCTCAATACGTCGAAGGGTGGGACTGGATTTGCGCCATCAGGTAAAATACTACAAATCAAAGCGCATTCAATTGAAAGCTAGAAGTGATGCTCTTGATGGAGCTGTTGTGTCAACTGAAGTGCTTGTCAACACTCAACACACCATGTTGGACTGCTGCACAGGGACAGGAACACCGGCATTTGGGACAAAGTCACTGTATTTCAGACTGGGGTAATCTTGCATTGTTCGGCTTAAAATTGCAAAACATTTAAGATTAGGGTTCAAATTTTTCGCCCAATTAAACTTTCGTTGTTTTATTTCCAACAATTATTGGGACATGGTTTGATTTTGTGCATTTGTGGTCCCTAGCCTGTGCGGTTGGTGGATCCCCATCTTGTGGCGACCTTTCCATCTTCGACTTACACAGAAGCACAGCTTTGGGTTACTGTGGAACTGGTTAACACTGCTTCGGCAAAAATCAAAGCCACAATCTCCGTTTCTGCAACATTGGAAGATCAAGAAAGTTTGGGTACATCAACAATTTCTGCGACGCAAGTTGTTGAAGTCAACGCCAAGAGCACACTACAGTACTCCCTGTTTCCAGTATGTGATAAATATTCTCCTCCGAAAACTCGATATGGTGAACATGAGCTTAGGATTGAGTTGCACACTGCGTTTCAATACACGTACACCTATCAACATAAGCAGCATTGCCTAATCACTTCGATGTGGGTTTAGATTCTTGTCGAGAATCCGGCGCTATGGTGGCCAAATGGTATGGGAGAACACCCTCTGTACAAAGTAGACGTTACAGTAGAAGCTGGAGGCTTTAGTGGACTATCTGATTCGTGGAGTCACATGTTTGGCTTTCGCCACATAGCCTCTCATATCGACACTGCGACAAATGGACGGTACACTTTTCGACCTTTAAAACATCATAGTTCGAATAATGCCTACTTATAGGAGATCCAGTTAATAACTTGTTGGCATTGCTGTGAAGATATGGTGAAGAACTGATTTGTGGTTTGGAGGTTTGAAGGAAGTTCGAGGTGAATGGAGAGGCGATCTTCATTCGGGGAGGCAACTGGATTGTCTCGGATGCTTTGTTACGCCTCTCTAAGGAACGCTACAACGCAGAGATTGGCTTCCACGCAGCTATGAATCTGAATATGATACGCATTTGGGCAGGGGCCTTGGCCGAACGTCCTGAGTTTTATGACGCATGCGATAGACATGGCCTTCTGGTGAGTGACCCAAATTCAGGTATACAATCCATGGGCTGAATTTGTTAATTGATTATTGGATTTTGAATGAAACAAATTGACTCAATTAATCAATACTTATTTACTCTTGAATATTTTGATGGTGCATAAGATAGGTTTGGCAAGAATTCTGGATCACTGGCGATTGTAACGGACGAGGACAACCACCATCAAACGCCGAGTGGCCACTCGACCATGAGCTCTGGCTCACTTGTGCATACGACACAGTGAAGCTCCTCCGCAACCATGCCAGTTTAACTCTATGGTGTGGAGGGAACGAACAACATCCCGCCGATGATCTCAACGATGCTTTAACCAAAGCTCTGGTAATCGTTTCTCCTGATTCAGGGAATCCGAGCCAATCAATTGATGGAACACGTCTCTACATTGAAGGTACTATGATTGTTAACTTTTCTTTCTCGTAAGCAGTTTATTTATTACAATGAACACAAAATTGGAATAACTGCATGTACTTATTTTCATTTCTGTTGGATGTTGACGGGTGAAGGGTCGCTGTGGAGTGGAATCGCTGCTGGAAATGGCTTGTTTCGAGATGGCCCATACACAATCCAGATACCAGAAAATTTCTTTACAGAGTACTATTATTCCTACGCATTCAATCCGGAAATTGGAAACGTGGGAGTCCCAAACGCGGATACCATCCGCTCCACCATGCCGCCTGAAGCATGGGATCCCCCCGACGCTTTAGCTGGAGAACATCCTAATGCTACTTGGTTTTACCACAAGTACATTGCCTACGCAGATGGGCAAAACCTCATCCCAGGCCAAATCGAGGCATTCGGCACATACAACAGCCTTGACGATTTTTGTGAGAAGGTATAGTATCTTATCATGAGCTAAGCCTGAACATGATTTTCCATGAACAGCTAATTAAGTTATGGTGATTGATTGGACGTTGAACAGGCCCAGCTTGTGAATTACCACCAGTATCGAGCACTCATCGAGGGTTGGAATACATGGATGTGGACTCACTACACCGGAGTGCTTATCTGGAAGACCCAGAATCCCTGGCCAGGCCTCCGAGGCCAAATGTACGATCACCTCTTGGATCAGACTGGAGCTTATTTTGGTCTTCGATACGCCGCTGAGCCACTTCATGTGCAGCTCAACCTCCTGACGTATAATATCGAGATTGTGAATACGACGCGGACCACCTTAACGAATGCCACTTTGCAGGCCATTGCCTACGACGTCGATGGCAACACCCCTTGGTCGCAAACGTTTCCTGCAGTAACGGCGGCGTCAAAAAAGACCTTGATTGTTGGGCAAATCCCTCTGTTCAAATCCATCAACACCCAGCCTGTGTATTTTCTTCTGCTCAAGCTCTCCAGCTCCACGACTACACTAGTATCCCGCAATTTCTACTGGTTGCATCCTATACCTGGAAACTATCTCCAGCTAGCAGGATCGTATCGATCACAAAAGATCGACGTCAAAGCGACAGCTACCTCGAAGGTCAGTGACGATAAATTGTCTTACAATATCCAAGTCCTGGTCGAAAATCGAACGGCAGTAGTGGCATTTGGGTTGCGCTTCCGGGTGCACAATGGAAATGCTACTGGTGTTGACAAGCGCGTTCTCCCAGTGTTCTATTCCGACAACTGGTTTTCGCTTGTTCCGAATGAGACTGCCACCATTGATATCTCCTTCACGATCTCTGGTAAAGATGTTTGGCCCGTGCTTCTCTTCAGTGGGTGGAATGTCGCAGAGAAGGCAGTTTCTTTCTAGACTAATTACCTTTTTTTAAAATTTTAGTCATAGTCCATGTCAATTGCAATACATTTCATGGTGAAAGGACATTAGTAGCGGAAGTCTGGCGTCTGTAGAAGCTTCATGGTATGCTAGTTAGTGCTTTCAAGTGGACGTTAACAACATTTATAGTACACATTGGAAGGGTTGTTTCGCATCAAACATTCTGAGTTTAGAACAGAGGTGAAGACTCAGAAGAGGTCATTCCTTATCAAAATGGTCGTGATGTATTAAAATCAATATGTAGTGTCTCTTTCGATACACCTACTGCACATCCTCACTTTCAGTTCAAGTATGCATTGTGAAAAGGAGCATGTCTTTAAAGTTCTCCCAAACCTCTACAAGATTTCGCAGAATATCTGCTCGACGTTGTCTCTGTTGCTAGTATATGGTACTCTTTTAGTTGAAGAGCTTGCTGGATCTTGAATCACTGCTAACGAAATCCCTGAAGGTGTACATGATCCTACAGGAAACCTTCATACAATGTAGCAAAGGAGGCTTTTTATGAACACCTACATGTTCAATTTACATTCCAAAAATTAATGAACCTCAATCTTTGCCTGCACATAAATGTGAAACGCTTTAATATTCTCGATAATCTTACGATCTTTGTGGTTTCAACTCCGAGTTTGGGAACAGTTGCATGAAAAGTGGTGATATGTCTTCTGATAATTTGTATAGAATGTCGATCAACCTCAAGTAACATATTACATCAAATGTCGTCCTTATCACTCTTCATTACATGAGCTCTTGATTCCTGGGGTATGTCGCTCCCTATGAAAGTGCTCAAATTCCAGCAGCTTTTTATAATGTGGGATGTTGTGTTGCCATGCCCGAAATTGGTTCATGATTGTCATATAATTTCGAATTCTTCCACTCAAAATGTTATACTCTCGTACATTACACACAAATCATCTACTCGCTATTTACTCCCCACAAAAAAATGTTGCAAATCGAGGAGCTTGGTTACAAATCTTTACACCACTGCAACATTTCCACGAAAAGGGAACTCATGAAAGGTCGGGGCCTCGCTGAGATACAACTCCCGGGATAGAAACTCAAGAACATCACTACAAATTCATTGATGTTTCGTTTCTTCAAATCAAATGGAAGATGAGAATTGCATGGAATGGTCAGTCTAAATACTAATAATATTGATGTTAAACAAGACTTTCAATAGCTATTGAATTGACATTCATCCGGTAGTCCGCTAGGAAACCGCATCCTGTCTTGGCAATAATCGTAGACAATATACTTCCGATGGTGCTTCTTCAGCTGCTCTATTTGCCTCTTCGTCGGCTCCTCCTGATGCAGAAACCAGTACTTATCAGAGTCATAGCACTCAGGGAATTCAGTCTTGTTGTCGCATGCGGTTACAGGAGAAGCAGGGCATGCTTGACATCCATGGACGCCATCGAAACCCTCGTAGTGAACGACGAAGGGAGCGTAACTGTAGTTGAGCTTTACCCGGCCACCTTGTGTGGCCCATTCGCCGCCATCCCAGATGCTGCACTGAATCGCTAAAGGCTTACCCACAGGATAAGGGACGCCGGTCTCATTGCTCACGTTGTGGAAGACTCGGATCACCTTGTTATCCACAAACCATCTGCACAAAAATTTACTCGTCAACTAGGACTCAGGGATGCATTTAATTTAACTGGCACAGCGTTGATGTGTATGAGCTCATGACTTTTGAGGACGAGGCAGTCGTCTGGAGAGGTACTACAAAATCGGGGCAAGAGGATGACAGATTGCATGGAGTACATGATGAGGTGTTGGTTCCAGAGGAGTGAGTATTTGTGGAAGTCGGCGGTAGGGTCAAATTTGAGATAGTGGTGCTGCTATCGGTTGCCTTCTCCATTGACGTAGACATTGGTTTGGAGCGTGACTGGATTACCACTTGTGTTGCCCAGAAACTCGAAATCCATTTCATCGTGCCTGTCTGACTCTTTGGTTTTTTGTCTCCGGGGAAGAAAACTGCACAAAATTTTATCGCAGCATGAGTATGTGACATTTCCCTTAACAACATCGACGAAGTCTGACAGGTCAACTTATAGACTCAATAAGGTTGCACACTTAATGTGGAAAAGTTAATTAAGAATCACCGGGTTGATTAAATTCCTTATCCGTTCGACGCAATCCTGTATGATTTGGTACTACTTTTTGGGTACAATACAGTAAAGTAGATCAAAGATGTGGCGTACGTAATATGTAGCAATTACACCGGCTGATTCGTTTGGAATCAGTTTAATGAACATGCTAAAATAACCGAACATGAACCGGTTCTTCGATTGAAAGTGACCAACTGCACACAATACGATGACCATAAAGATTAGCCACTGTTCAACTTGTGGAGAATATCTTCTGTAAATTGGTAGCTCGACGTATTACTCAAAGTCTGTACAATCAAAGATAAGTTTTAATGCGACACGTCAAACGACTGATAGAGAGTTCGCACTTACACGATTGATTCGTTCCAGTGATCTTGAGGCTAGCGTCCATACCATCGTCGCTGATCGCTAAACCATCGTTGGGGACTGGCGTGTAGAGGTTCATGTAGTTTTGATCCCATGGCACTGGCGACGCAGTGGAAAGTTTCGGTTCTCGTTTTGACAAGGATTCCGGCATGACTGAATAATTTGCTGACCAGCGTGGATGATTGTCCCATTCGATGCCATTGTCGCAGTGCCTACCGTCATAACTACGTGTGAGGTGAGGTTGATCACCATTATGTGCATCAACAACATGAACAGTCATAAGCACAAACTGCACCGATAATATCAACACCAGAACCATACAAATTTTGTCAAGTTTGGCAAACCTTCCTTCTTCCACAACAATAGTGCAACTCTCTATTCCCATTCCAAACATATCGTAGAATCTTTTGGCTCTCTGCAATAAATCATTTAGCTCCTGGTTGTCCTTTGTCTGGGTGAGGACTTATATAACTGGTGAACCATGTTTCAAGCGTGAGATAGAAGAACCGAACCCAAGGTGAACTCAAATTGTGCTCTCGAAGTATTGGCAACCGTCTACCTACGCAGGACCCCACGTCGCTGGATCGTGCGCTTGATGGCTAGCCATGTTGATCTCTAAAAGCACAGCTCTCAAATTGAGATGGACGTTGAGTAATGGAGGGGCATCATCATGAAATTTACTTCGACTAAGGGGGTAGAAACCAATTCAGCATCAGGGTACTAGAGCGTAGAATTACTCTCAATGCTTGACTTGCGTAATGATCAATGGCCCTCTTCAATACTCGCAGTAAAAAATTCCAATTTGGTGCTCTGCAATTACGCAATATTCCGGATCTAGTGAATCCTTGGGCAACCTCACGCGTACATGAACCTTTAAACATACATACGTGAATCTATATTGTGCTAATTTTTCTGAAGGTTGAGGCCTGCATGAAATTAGAGACGAGCAGGTTGTCAGTGCTTATCATATGTGAGCTTTTCTCGAAGATGATGATTATTAGTAGTGTCTCGAGTTAATCTGTTAGGAGAATATACTTGATGCGAACTGTCACCGTCCCTGCGATGACGTTGGCAGTCTCATATGAAAGTCATGGCTCGCGAGTAGAAAGATGCATTATCAATCTACCACAACATAGGCGCCGCTCAACCTCCCGGGGCCGTCTTGCTGGTATTGCAAGACGTGATTACCTTGAGACTTAGAACTCCAGTCAAGATAAGTCTGGCCTGCGGTAACCTTGCTTCCTACTTTGCTTCCCACTTTGCCTCAGAACATGGTATGGGACCCCCCACATACACAGGCCAACCTGATTATTTTATCCATTTTATACCCATGTCTTCCTTCCGATCGAGATCGATTATAAACCCAGTGTCTACCTCCTCATGACTCGACGAGCTCTTTTCGGCACGCGTCAGCACAGAAACCAGTATCGTCACTTCATCTGATCAACCTGGAGTGAATGTCAAGTGTACATGCGGTTGCGTGGAAAACCACTTAACGCCTGTACTGTTGCATTCCTATTAGGAAAGTATTATTTATTATAGATACATTTTCCACGAGGAAGTGAGCCACTTCGTTACCACTGACACCCACATGATGCTTTCAGACCCATCCTTTTATTCAAAATGTATGGGAGTTTCCAACTATGAAGGGATAACCTAGCAGGGAGACAGTGACTTTGATGGTTGAGAAAAACCAAAACAAAACGAAACGAAAACGTATAAGAGATTCTGCTCCAATTCCTTCACTTCGGTGACTGCAAGTGAAAGAAGTTGATCGAATTCAGGTCCCCCGTACAGGAGTCAACGTTCGTCTTTTTCATTGGTTAACACGTGAGTTGAGAGTGCAATTTACAATAGAGTTGTGTGTGGCGACAGAATCTAGATCGTCTGAGTCAAGCTGAGTGATGTAGATAAAATGACTCGTGGCTTCATCTTGCAAATAGAGTGCACTTGAAGTTTAAGAGCCACATGGGCAATGCTAGCTCGTCACCAAAACGGGATGATTAGTACATGTTGACTGGATGTTCTTGTCAGGCAAGGTGACCTCCACTGTTAAGCTATTGACTACTTAGGCCACAAATTACTTTTTTCTTCAGCTGAAATGTCTCTACCAGGATTAAGCTTGCGAGGGGTTACATGGAAAGTGCATCAAAAAATTCCTACCTTCACAGAAGTGGTATTTCAAACAACGCATCACAACACTAGTACCAGACATTGACGAAGAAACAAATGAGAAACTTTAGGCAGCCTCAACGTCTAGATTAGGGACCTCTACATCCATGCTACTTATGTTCTGTATTACACAAGCGTGGTAGGCTTGCAAATAACGAAAAACGTGATGAAATTCTTCCTGGAACAAACTGCCTCTTGAGACTAAAGGGATAGACAGAAGGAATTTATCAATGTGAAGGAGCAACAAGAGAAACACTCCCACAAACGAATTAAGACTCAACTGTAACATCTATAAATTTAGAAAGTACAAATCGAGATCTAATATTTTCACGTACTAATTCTGACTAATCAAGCAAACTCTAGCACTTACAGTGTTTTCAAAAAGAACAAAAAATAAGTAAGGTTATCCTTAAAAGGTTAAAGATTTCGAGATCACAATTTGAAGGCTCGACCCAAAGAATATATTTCATGCTAGTTATGAGCAGCACAATGGATTTGAATATACAAAATACTCCATGGAAACCTCACCTGGGATTGTATTTCTTGTCATTCTAGCTACCCACCAGAGAGGTAATGCACTGTAAAATTCAAGGATAGAACGCATATTCTCTCTTCAATGTAGATCAATGCTTTGAATCCTCAGTTCGAAGTTGTTTGGACAAATCCGGCTATTGCGTAGTGGAACAATTTACACTAAATTGGACATTTGCAAATAACCCACAATGGCAGATAAGCACAAAAAGTATGAATGTCAAGTACCATGGAGAATTAGGATATGATTTATCCAAAGACGTAAAACTAATCAGTCTTGTCTACCACTGCCACCCCTCTTCTTTGGCTTCTTTTTACCAGAAAAATAGAAGTTCACGGGTGTGCCTTCAGGTTGACTTACCGATTTTGTTTCCAATGCGGCATCACTCTCTTCAGTTGAATCCATATCTCCCACCCTGGGGAAGATGGGCCCAAGTGGACGAGCGTCTTCTGAGATAAGAGGCGAGGTCTGGTTGGCATACACTGCAGCTGCAGCAATTTGATCAGAAATCTGACGTTGAAGGGGTTCTGACACCAATTTTGAAGACATCCGTTGTGATGAGACGCCTCCTCTAAGAACAGCTCTTGCAGCTACATCAAACTCCACGAGCGCATCCGAGTCTGGAAAAAGTCGGAGATGTACAACAGCATCAGCTTATGGCATACTAAGTAGCATTTCCTTATCAAACTAATAGATCAATACATATGCTGGAAGAATCGACTCCGAGAGCGGACTACTTACCAAGAGGAAACAAGGTGCTCCTGGTGCCCGGGCTTCCTTTCAGTGGAGTAAGCTTTACATCATCACCCCTGAAACCAAGGTGCCCAACATACTCGGTCAAAACTCAGCAAAACAGGAAACAACCTCGAGCAGTCGCCTGAAAAAGGAGGTGAACCAACTTCACCGTCTATAGAAACTTTATAATGGCCACATAACAAACCTAACAGTAGCATTGAAGAGACTATAATTACCACGCAGATTCACCTCCAGCAAATAAATCCCTTCCTCCTGCTCGAGATGGCTTTTCAGTAAGCGTTTCGGCCACTTCTGTCTCGGTTGATTTCATACGACTTGAGTCAGACATGCTTAGATCCTTGATGCCCCTCTCCGTATCTAGCGCCTGTTTAGGTTCTATGTCCTCTGATGTTTCTTCCATCTCAACTTCTATCTTCTTAATGGGATTTGGAACCGAGGAAGCTGTATCTATTTGATTTTGCAAGTTAGGGTGACGCCGTATTTTCCGCTGAGCTCGTTCTATCTCATGAATTTCAACCTGACACCATCAAGTTTATTGTTAAGTAAGTGTGACTGACCCACGTTTCAGGATAGATGGTCGTGAAGCTGAGGACTAACAATAAACAAAGCAGTCTGATGGGAAACATAATGTTGAAATGATTCCAATTTAGTAGCTTACAGCTTTCTTGAGGGTTTCGGTCATTGACTGTGCTTTGGCAGCTGCAATGCGAAGACATCTCATAACTTCACTAGCAGATACACCTACACCTCCTCCTTTCTGGACGGCACAAATTTCCCCCTGCGAATTAATTGTGATCGTGATTCTGCCACCCATGACCTCCTCTTCTTTCAGGTTTGGATCCAGCACCTGTTACCCACAATTTACAATTCATATCCAGCAAATAATAATTTATGGTGGATCCTCACAAGACAATGTGGTCATATAAGCTATCAAACGTAAGACTCCAGCAAAACAAGATTCCTTACTTGAAAGTTCCCGTCACCAAAAAATGCAAAAGTCACAGCAATCGGAAGATGGTGAATAATCAAACCAACAGGCTCCCGAACCTGTAACCATCAACAAGATCTAATTAGCGCCGTGAACCATCTATATAACCTGTCGTTCAGTGAAGGAAAACAAGATTATTGTGCGATAAGTCAATCACAACTTTTGATAGCTTTGAATGAATAATTTGCACATTCAGGAAATCATTCTCAGCTTACGCGAGGGGAAATATTTATGTGTACAAGGATCCAACCTCAGGAGGATGAACAATAATTTGTTGGCCATCATCGCCTCCAACAGTGCATTCTGGCCGTCTGTAAGATAGAAGCGCTGCTAGAGCTGCCAAATTTGCAGCATCCACCAGGTTCCTAAAAGCCCCAACCGAACAACCTTAATAGGCAATAATATCCAACGTTCACCGACATGGGTTTCAGTTATCCATTGAGTGTACAGAATCTGGGAAACAAATGAAGAGAAGATGAACTTACCCGTAATTATCCAGAATGTGGATATCCACCCGGATGGACCACACAGACCGACCAGACAAAATACATAGCGACTCCGTATCCACGGCCCTGCTCTCCCTGCCTTTTCATGATGAAGTTAAGCTTACTGAATATGAAAAACAACAAAAGCGTCGCAAAAAAAATCAGAACTACAATAGGAACTTCAATTCGCCTTCGGACAGCTGAGCAACAACATAAGTAGGCCAGTTTAGATGGCAATGCAATCTTCACGCACAGAAGAACAAAATCAGAATTAAAGTAGCTAGATGGCTGTACAGAATGGGTTAAGGATTTAGACAAAACACCTTAATCCACGGTCTATGATACGACCTAGCTCTACCGCCATCTCACTCGGCCGGCCTGGCTCAAAAGCAGGATCCCCCATTGGCGAAAATTCTGTGAAAATTGCAAGAGATCCTTCATTTCCCCGATCTGGGTATGGTTGCGTAATTTCTCCCTTCACAACTGCTAAAACCCTTGTCTGTCCTAGTTGTACCTCCACAGAACCATCTTCCCTGCATACCCATGAAAACATCAACACAAATTCAGACAAATGCTACAGCGAGAGCGCGCAAACACGCACGCACATTAAAAGTAAACAGAAGCGCACATACAATAAAAATCTGTACATATATGGTCCACTAGTCCGAGCATAAAAATATCTGCAATTTATTTTCACACCCATTCGACGTTGCCATAGAGGCTGACAGTCACAAGTATTGAAGAGGAAACTTGCGACTGATACGACAAGATATCAGAGACTTCTAGTTCATGTAAACACTCTTGAGCATGTCTCCAACATATTTACTCCGATTGTACATCGCCGTTATGCAACCCTCACAAGAAGTCGCAGCATGAGGAATTCGTGAACATCTCCTGGAATACTTATAACTCCATGCCCTAAACTGCAGAAGATTCTTAATGAAGGTCCTTAGTCTGCACTGCTAGCATATACCCGCTAACTGAGATCCGAAGTGAGTTTGCACCTGACCATGAAACAACATCAACGGCTCCAATGAAGCGTTAACTAGACAAACAATCCATGACCTCACGTACTTCAGGAGCATCTAGACACTGCTCTGGTCTTCTCCCGATTGAAAACACCTTAAAAATTGCGTCATTCATGACAAAATTCTCTTCGAGATCCTCACTCAGAGGGTTCTAACAGATGAGATTTTCCACTGCTTCTAATGACCTAGCTGTGATGTCTCTGTAGTTGCCTTAGCCCCGTAACACTATCATACGGCAAATACAGGCCACGACGGACTGATTGATGCCGAAGAGATCGAGAAGCACAGCAGGGACGAACTTGAGGAATTTAATTTGAAGACGACGATAATCAAATGGAGTACGCCCGTCAATCCGTTGCTCCTCACGAATCGCAGCTACTATGAACTCCTTCTCATTAGTGCTCATCCGCAACCCTGCGTGCGACATGATTCCTGCGTTCCTCCCCCTCAAACACGCATAATCCTTCAAATTTTGAATATGAAACTGCAGGCTGGAAACTGCAGACTAGTCAGTGAAGCTTCGTCTCTCGCGGGCATGAAAAGTCCCAAAACCTATCTTCGAACCCATATTCTTAAAGCTAGGGTTAGGGTTTGAGGGCCAAATCATGGGCCATAACATGGATTTCGTAAATCTAATTAACTCGAAACTGTTCCTTCTTTTTCTCACTTTTATTGAGTAAATTTCCACAGTTCCCTTCCTACTAAACGCACAATTGTAAGTACTTGTATTTAACTAGGTGAAGGTGACATTATGATTTGTTAATGAGTCTCAGCCAACCTTTAAGTGCGTAACTGAGTCCGTTGCCTGTCTAGTAATCACTTGACATAAGGATAAATCTCAAATATAATCACTAACAACAAATCAAACAATATACTTCTAGAAAAATATATTTTTTAAATGACACGTAATCAATATCACTTATTCATTTATACACATGTTTGTGTCTGTATACATATACAAACAAGCATACATGACGTGGAACATAAAAGAATGATATTTGTATCCTCACTGGTAAACAAAGGTATTTGACATGATATACAAAATGATACAAATATGTGTTAATGTTCTAAAAGAATACAACGATGTTGGATATAACGAATAATAATACACTAGCGTGTAGGTGAAGTAAATGTTAACGATGAATTTGTTCAACTTTTGCAGCACCAAATAAAGTTTGTCAAAAATAGACGTCTGAGATTGGAATCACCTTCCATAGATATAGAAACTCATCCCTGATAACAATTTTAGACCAACTAAACATATGAATATCAGCAAATCAAGGCATTCTTTTGGGAATAAGTTTAGAAACATTTGAGGGATTCATTTATTGCAATGCAGGCCTACTTTATTGTTTCTCAGAAGATTAAACCAATAATAGGACAAAAATTTGAAAAGCAGAATTAAGATATTCAAAATTAGCGCTAAGATTTTGGGTAATCCTACGTAATCAAAGCGCTTCACGCGGGGATGGAGAAGAGGTACCCATGACCGTATGGATGCCCAATTCCGTGCCCCATAAAATACGCTCGTCTCCGGCCTCGGATGGAGCGGTCTAATGCTGTGGATGATTCGCTTCGCCTGCTGCTCCGAGGCATCCCCAATTTCCGAGTGACATTTGTTAGAGCGCAGCTTTGTTCCTGCTTTCCAGCTTCGAACGAGAGGGTCTGCTGAGCAAGTGTTGGCAGAGGATTAATGCGAGTCGTTCTCATGAGCAAAGTCAGCATCAAGAAGGCTGCGGCAGAGTTGGACGAGCTCTCGGAAGAGGAGCGGCGGGCGTTGCGGATTAGCCGATTCCATGCGGAGCAATTGCAACCTCGTGCGTCCACCTCCTCCAATCAACCGCAGCCCAGGTACTTGGCAGATTCGGTAATTACTTCATATTCTGGTTTTGTTTGTCGTGTATTTGGAAGGCGGGGTCGAATCTGCCACTCGAAGAGCAATCGGTTTAGGGTTTAGATTGCTTGGTTTTCATCTCGGATTATTTCTATCATAACGTAGTATCTGAGCGAATGAGATTAAGGCCGTTTTTATGTCGAGGATTGCATTTAAAGTCTATATATATATATATATATATATATATATATACATTTTCCGTTTTTCGTGTTTTTGGAAGGTTTTCATTGAATGAGCATAGCTAATATAATGAAATTTACCATGGGATTCTCGAAGGATTTAAATACATTCTAAGAGTTCAAAATGTTGTTGTCAGTTTTGCCTAGACATCAGCAGCATTTCATCGATCTGCCTTACTGAAACCTGTTGTACGTCATACTGGATTTTAGGGTCAAGGAGCTTTCGATCACTTCTACAGTAGCTAAATATCTGAAGAAATGATGGATGTTTTGGATTATAGGGATAGACGATAAGATTACTGTCGCCACAGACCCGTTTTGAGCACTGCGTGATACTTCTGCCGAACACGGAAACTCATGTTTTTAACGTTCCACGTGTCTCTTTGTCTGCAGGTTGGCTCATCCTGGAGGGGCCTTGGCCACAAATAAAGCAGCAGCACTCGCCAAGTTTCTTAAAAGGAAGTTGAATGAGCCAGGCGGCGTTGCAGCTCTGGATCCTGAACTTGTTGAACGTGCGGTTGAAAATGCTAAGGCCACTGTCATCCCAGGTACTACTGTTTACATCCAGTCGCTACAATCTCTCTCTCTCTCTCTCTCTCTCTCTCTCTCTCTCTCTCTCTCTCTCTCGGTGTATGTGTGCGTGTATATATATAATGTTTTTATTATGTATTGACATCAGCTTCTGAGGCCTAAGAAGTTCTGATTATTCAAAGCTTGCATGTTTAATCCGGCCTCATTCGTGAACTCCCTTTTGTAACAGCCAACTTCACTATCCAAGTAATCTACCAGTTATAACCGCAATATTTTGAGAAGTTTGGACTGTAAAGATATTGCGTTTCATAACACCTCATTGAATGGGAACTACAGTCTCACAAGTGTACTTCTCTCTTCTGCAGGCCAACAGCCCGCCGCTTGTAAAGGCCTCAAAATCCGTCATGTAGACACCTTTTCCGATTCGGATGAGGTATAATGCTCGATGCAAACTTTTACTACTCTCTGCCTGAACAAAACTCTATGTCTCTGGCTTCTGATCATCCTATGAATCTGATAAACGGGTTTCAATACTTTTGGAAGCGTCTTGGATGAGTTTTCATGTGTCTTAACCGCACGAGGGTTAAAGATCTAACACCCATCGCTTCAGAATCAAGCTAGTGTAACAGTATTTTACAGTTGAGTTTATAGTAAAGATTTAAATCAACTTTCTCTAAGCATTCTTGGTTTGTGTTGTGTAGGAGGAGGTTTTGCGTAGACAGCTCAATGCTGAACAACAGCATAAAAGAAATTCAAAGACGAAAAAAAGCAAAACACTGAAACTCGAACAGAAGCCTGAGCATAGAAATAAAAAGAAAAGCAAGAAGAAAAAAACCAAGAAGTCGTGAGGGCGATCAAGTTATCCGTGTCAAACCATAAGCAAATCATTTACAACTAGAGAGACAAAATAGGTCTCACCATTTTTTATTATGTAGTTTGGAATGCCAATTTTAACTGCTACATGAACCTCTGGAAGCGTTGGTAGACGATCCAATCATCGATACGGTGGATTTGTAGCCACTATTCCTGAACTTGAGGTCAAATCTGTTAGCTGTTTGGCGCAATGCAATATATTCTTTATTGGTATTGCAGAAAGTAGCGCTGCCGATCTCACGCCTGAAACATTAGCATATAAGACGAAGTGTCTTGTATTCTTTTAAAAATTTGGTTAAACCTTCTAAAGATCTTGCTAACTTGATCATACGAAACCGTACTCACTGCGCTATGAACTGTCAATGAGAACATGCAAGCACTAGTAATATTCTTGGATTGGTGTGTACGAAACATGTAATTCATTTGAAAAACATTTAGCTTAGAGAGAGTGGTGAAATATTTACGCCACCATATTACATGTTTCCACTTCGTTTCAAGATTCAAACAGCTGTTGTACAATACTGATACATAGTGTACATAGATAGTATTGCACTTGAGTGCATACAGGGCCTTTGTTGAGTTTTCAAAAAGTCCAATTTTGTGACTAGGCCTACGTCTGTTTGATGTGTAGACTTCCCTGATCTGCTGAGCAGCTAACTTTATTCACTTAAAGTCCTAAAATATCACCTGTAGCAAATAAGCGTGGTATGCCATGTATACAACATCCACAGAATGATCGCAAGGCATTTAATGCGCAAGAATACCTATCCAATTTGGACACAAAACCTACAACCGGGCAACTTGTAATAAAACACAAAATCTTTGAATGAACTGTTAAGAAATTTCCTAGTTCAACTAGGATGACTGAGGATGCGTATCCAACTGCAGATGACAGTGTCATCCTTGCTTTTCTCGTTCTGAGGGCTAATTCTGCCGCAAGCATAGCCAATAATCATTTATGAATCCAGTTTTTAAAGCATTGTTTGCAGGCCCAGTAAGTAGGTCTTCAAGAATTTCGACAACGAAATGCAACTTTTTAGTTGTGCAGGAGATTCACTTCCAGACCTTGATGGCACCATCCCTGCTACTTGATATTAGAAGCCGCTGATTCGTTTGAGCTGAAGCAAGGCTAAGAATACAATCGCGATGACATCCAGCATTATCGGTAGCAGCTGCTGCAAGGTTGCTTTTTGATGAATTGGTACTTGAGGGTCGGTTTGCACTCTCTGCCCCTGGAGTTTCCTGGAAACAGTTACCTGTGTATTAGAAGAATGGCTAAGTGAAAAACGCATCATGATTAAAAAGATAGCAGACAGAAGAATTTATTCAGGGGTCAAGTTACAAGTTCTCGTCTACTGATGTTAGCAGCCATCAGAAAGGGTGAAAAACAAACATTCCACACCACATCATTATTTCCTAATGTTAACCGAGAACATGATGTTTGAAAGGTTTATGTTGCCAACCTGGACTATACGGACACCATTCAATGAGCGCAATTCATAATTCTGAACAGAAACCTTCGCTATAGTAGGCCCACAAACGACATAGCTTCGATCCGATCTGTATCCACAAATGCAAAGCCAATACAAGAAATAAGGCTCGAGTGAAATATTTAAAAGTCAAATAATGCAATCTCAGATCTAACGTGGCAGAAAGTACATGAAGGAGCAGAATTACACTGTCATGCTCAAGTTGGCATCTTTAACCCATCAATATGCACAAAAAGCACTATCAGGACTATCTGTGAGAATATCCAAGGTAAAAAGAGACTCACGACAAGCTTTATTAAAACTTTATATATTAGAACCCCAACCAAATTTAGTTTGATGGAATGAGCACAGTACCTTAAGCGATCCCACATTCGAATTCTGCAATCTGATCCGCCAGTGAGAAGTGCCGCACCCCCTGATAAAGGCAGCAATGTACGCACTCCTGGTAACCTTGGAGGAGGCTCATTCAGTTCTTCCATGCGATAGTCGGTAAATTTCACACCTCCAACTAACTTAGTATCCCTTAAAGATTGAGAGTTTGACAATGGTTGACTAAGAGAAGCAGGAACAGTGTTCATTTCTGGATGGACTGGATCAGCGCATAATCTAAGAACCTGCACATCGCAAGTTACAAGCCTTCAGCATACACAAACTTAGGTACGAATAGAATGTACACTACCCATAATCCAGCATCGCCTTTGTTTCAAGCCTCGAAATTACAAAGAAATTCTTCAAAAAAAAATATTTTATTTTATTTTATTTTATCTTGAAAAATATCGTAGTTGCTTGAAGTCCTTATTAAGAGACACCAAATTCTAAATTTCCTAGAAAAGCTGAGGACTAAAATCACAAAAATCACCTGATGACATGTACCATCAGCGGCATTCCAGAGGGCCACCTCGTTGCGCCCTGCAGCAACCCACACATAGGGATGCTGGCTTGATATTGGAGGTGTGTCTTTGCCAGGAACTAAAACACACATGCTTTCGACTGGGCAGCAAGCTGGATGCTGCCATGTGTTGACTGCAATCTGCAATATGCAAGGACCGCGTTAAGAACAATACGTTCACACGAGAACCTCGCATATATCACCAAAAGGCCCCAACTATAGCTACATACATATTGAGCATTAAAAGCAATACATCTAATTCATAAAAAGAATCTCTTCAGATGTCTTCAAACTGAAGCTCCACATTAAGACCGAGGGAGATTATGAAGTGATGCAACAAATCGTTGCAATTTAACATTAAAACATAAAGATGCATACAGGCAAGACAGTTGACACATGCAAGATGAGATAGACACCTCTTAAACAATGGTATCTTAGAACCGACGCATATACCAACGGCATCGAATATGAGGGGTGCTTGACCAAGAAAGACAATTCTCAATACTGGTGCTTCCTCAAATACATTCAAAAAAAAATGTGAAGCATAAAATGTGATGAGCTTCAGATGAGTAACCTGAAAGCGTAAATCCCAGAGGGTGAGCACTCCTCGAGATGTTGCAGACACCAACCAGTTGAATGCAGGATCAACTGATACCGCTGATATGTAGCCTTGATCTGGCTTTGTCCGCAACACCCAGGCATCGGTTTGAGTCCTCAAATCCCAGAGATGTATGCCGTCTCTTTGAGTACCATACAAGAGCTGAGATGGTCCTTCATTGAAGAGATTTTGCATCGTCATAACATTCCCCTCTTGGGTGTTCAACTTACGCGTATCTGAAATGCCAGTATAACGTTCTGTGACGCTACCTTGACGTGCCACATAATCAACTGTAAAAACATGTATAGTTCCTTTACTAGAAGCTGCCGCAACTTGATGCCCGCCACCCAGAATAGACACATGAAGAGCTCGCCCGTCACTCTGAAGAGGATATGTCAATCGAGACCTAAAAGAAATATCTCTCTCTAATCTTCGGCAGTCCCATATTTTAACCGTTCCGTCATCTGATGCACTTGCAAGGAAAACATTATCACTCGAAACTGCCACCTCATTCACTGCACGCTGATGCTCTTGCAGATGGGCTATGAGAACACCACGAGGCTTCCAGGAGCTTTCTGCGACCACTGAGGAACTCAAGAGCGGGGTACCAGGTTCCAAGGGTGCTTCACTGCTCGGTGTATTAATTGGAGTAGGCTCCAAAAGTTTTCCACCTCCAAGCATTTCAGGAGTTATTGCTAAACTAGCCATACTGTTTGTCATGCTATCAATGCTGCTTCCAAAGCCAGTTGCAAGAAGACCTTCACCGGACTCACGTCCACTGGTGTCTCTCAAAGTCTCAAACTTTTTATAGCTAACAGGACTAGGCCATTGGTGCATGGATCCTGCGAGCATCCTTGGAGCATTTGACCCAGTCATAGCCACATGTGATCTGCATGATCACAAATAGTCCGACTAAGATGAATTGCATAGCACCAATACACGCAGGAGACAGATATCCAAAAAGCACACTGCAGCGGATAGCAATAGAATAAGGTTCATGTATGAAAATCTAAGAAAACATATTGCTGCGCAAGTCTCTCTTTTTCTTAGAGCGATAGCCCGAAGTCCCAAAGAGATGCGGAATAAATCAGAATTCACCATGATCTATTTATTCATGATCCAAGTCAAACATGCAAACTGTCGTAATATCTAAGAAGCAAGACGAACTCAAACAACCAATGATAAAGGAAGGATATGATGAAGAAGAGACCCTTGTGCACGCCAAATAATCAAAAAAGGAGAAGAAGCAAACGTAGACCATTAAGAGTATGTACACCAAGATACCTGTGTAGAGAGGGCTCCGTAGAAGACATCGATGACTGGCCAGCAATATTTGCCCATTGAGAAGAAGCTGGTCCTAATGAGGCACTAATTGGTGGTCCAGCAATTGTTGCCATGAGGAACGGTGTCGATCCCTGCCTAACCCCAAATACTCGGCTCCACTCTTCATTAAAAGAAGGATTTACTTCACCACCTTGGGAGGTCCTCCCTTGTCCAGCAACAGAAGGTTCAGGCTTCTTCTCACTCAAGGGAACAGAGTATATAGGGATCCCTTCCGAAGAGCCATCATAGTTGGAATAGAAACCGGCACCCACCCCGGCTGCAAAACCGATTGCGGAGCTTTGGAGTTTTTCTGTGTTTTCTGCTTCCCAATTATACATCCGAGTCTGCATGGTGCTAGACAAGTTGCGAATGTAACCCTCCATTGCCTTCATCTTTTCTCCATCCTCAACATCCCCTGTCAACGGCTTTTGCAGAATTTGAGGTCCAGAACCAGACACTTGAACACGTTTCGCATTATTTCTAAGAAGACCTTGAGAAATATCCACCCTAAGTGGACGACCCTCTCTTTCACTACGTTTACTCTCGCCTGGAGTGCTCATACCACTCATTACAGCAAGCTCTGAAGGAGGTTGAATTAAAGCTACTCTTCGGTTTTGAATTCTTTGAAGTCCTTGCTTAGTTGCAGCTGCCTTTTCCTTCTCGGTTTGCAGTAGCATCACATCACTAAGAACACGATTAAAGACTTCCCTAGATACCGGTGGTTTCAGACATGACAGCAGAGAAGCCTCAGAACATAAAGAAGCTGGCTCTCGCCTAAGAAATGGTAACAAGATCGGCGATAAGAACGCATAAGAATCAGTAGGCTCTAGATTTGCACTAGTAGCCGCAACGAAAGAAATCGCCGCCCGCCGTACCCACTGACTCGGATGACACAATAGAGGGGATGCCCGTTCAATAGCCTCAAGTAGGACTCGCTTTCGAAGTAGACGATGCGTACAAAGAGCTGCAAGACATTCTAGGGCATTAACAATTACAGTTTCTTCTACATCATTAAGAGCTTGTTCTACGTAAGGAAGCAGGTAAGCCTCCAAACTCATTTGTCCTACGAAGAGGCAAACATGAACGATGTGTTCAAAGAATACTGCCCGCAGCTGCTCATCGCGATCATTAAGAAACGCAGGTAGGATTGGCAGCAGAAAATCGTTGCTATGTTTGGATCCAAAAAACCGACAAAGAGACCCCACATTCTGCAGCAGGGCCCGACGAATTGTAGGCGTCTGTTTTTGACCCATCACTAGCTCTTGTATGACACGTGCGATTGTCTCACGCAAATGTGCAAGCTCTCCTTCTGAACGACCTGCAGACTGATTTGTCCCACCAGATCCCGCAGACATCTGCTTGTGACAAAAAGAAAAGCACAAGGCATTAAGAAAAAAGCCCTTATTCTGGACGGCTGGGAAGAAACCCGCAATATAACTGGCTAACACATGTCAATCATCACGAGCATCTTCATGGTTCACGTTACTAAGGCTATCTACTTTTGAGTGTATCCATTCATTAATGGGAGTTATTTTGCCATGAACCTCAATCACAGACTGTAATCAAAGATATAGATGTTTACCCCTTGCTTCATGGAGGTCGACTTCCTCTCTAACAAAGATCCCTTCGCGCGATTGATTGGAGGATCTATACCTCCAATATCATGAATCTCCTGAGAGTGCATCATGAATAGGTTAGCAGTTTCAGCGATCTTAACAATGTTCGAAGCATACGCAATGCGGACGCTCTCTTCTGGATCATCAGGTAGCATGGAGAGCAAAGGTAGAATATATTCTGGGAATATCTTAGCGTCACTTGTTGGGAAAACCTGTAGACAGACAAATGTGTCGCGCTTAGTAATATCCACTCGTAGAAATGCTGTACTATGTTGTTCACCTCACGCAATTGAAGCTGTAAAAAATGACTCAGGTTTCTTAATTTTTCATTGTTCAGGACAAGGTTTCATTTGATGTACATTCTTTGTATCAGCGTCCCTTTACTTGCAGTTATGCTGTTAAACTCCAAATCTTATTACTTAACTCAGTACGCAAAAAAAAAAAAAACAGAAGGAAAGCCATAAGCAACAACAAAAATTAACAACAGTGAATCCGAAGGAGGAATAAAAGAATACCTGTACTAGAGATAAGACATCACATAAAGTCTGAAGTGCGGTGCATCGAACAATAGCAGCACTGTCGGACAGCAGAGCCACAACATAAGGTATTACGTGTTGAAGACGGGCATCATCATCTATGTACGATGACGCTTCTTTCAATAACTGAATGGTTCCTCGCCTTGCTTGAGGAAGCTTGACATTACGTAGGCAAGCACATAAAAGAGATGCAATTAAGACCATCCCTTCACATTGTTGGGGTTGGTCATATGTAGTTGGATTACCACTATCCAAGTTCTTTAATGTTTCCGGTGATGACTCCTGTCTTTGAACCTCTGATCCAATGCTTGGTTGCGAGATTAGGTCTGGATAACAAGGTCGTCTTCGACGCTTTCGAATCCATCTCCTTTGTCTACATACACAATCTGGGGTACAAGTAGATGTCCAACTACGACTGCCAGAAGCGGTCCGTTTCAGGGTACCATCACCTACACTAGACCCATTTCCAGAAACTCTAACAGGAATTCCGACTTCACTTTCGTGGTCTCCAAAATTCATCTTCCGATACCTCCATCCATCATCATCAACTCCAGCTCCTGCAAAGACCAGCACAATCCAAATATTGTAAGAGGCTTGCTGAATAAAAACTCCAAAGTCAAGATAAGATGGAGGAGAATATATTTTTTGATAGCACGGCAGGCACGACGCACCACTCTGGATCCAGCTAGGATCGACTTCCCAATCTCCATCCCACCTCCATCCACCTTCCAAAGGGAGAGTAACGTCATCTTTCCAGCGTCCTGGTATTCCATGAGTGGCCATAGAAGCTTCACCAGTATAGAGAAGGCGCTCATGGAATATGCCACCTTGCTCACGAACTTGATTCTCAAAAACCTGCAGGAACAGACAAAAAGATAATATGTAACGTGAAAAATCCTACATTTTGGCATGAGATAAAAGCTGCTCTGGCCCTCTGATTGTGAGAGTATTTCAAAGACATCAAACAAGGGCAGTAATTGATTTCTTGACCTCCTCAGTAACAACTTCTTCCACAGAAGAAGCTGCCTCTGCCATAGCCACCGCAGAAGCTTTGATGCGACGCGACGACTCTTGTGGAGTAGAGGACCTGACGTGACCGTTCAACAAATTCCCCGCTACATTTGAAGCACCTGGTTCATCTAAAGTAACACCTCCATCGTCAGAAACTTGATTTTTCTGAGAACTTGAGGAATTAAGTGTTCTAGGTGACAACAGATCAGCAATGCCACCACTATCTGCTTCCTGTAACTGCCTCCTTCGAGAATCAGCAAGCATTTGCTTGCGTATTTCCGGAAAAAAACTTTGGGTGAGAGCCACCTATTCAAATCACATGTACGAACAAATGGAGCATAAGGATTAATAGTCCACAAAATTATTACTCGTGTTTAGTCCAAAAGTGGCCAATAAACGAAAATTAGTTCCAAAAGTAAAACAGCTTGTTCGATCCACTTAGAAGAATTTTACGCTGTTCGCAAAATTGCTTAGGGCTGCACGCAGAAAATCTGAATCATCCAAACAGAGATCAATGCAAACAAGAGATGAGGATAATGATCACTTACTCGATTATCTGTGTCCAACGAAATAAGGTACGAGAAGAAGTCGTGCAACAGAGGTGAAAAGTACTCTGGAAATACCCTAGGACACCACAACTTCAAGTAATCATCTGCAGATAATCGATTCTGTGGGAGAACGTTAATCATGTCCAGGATCATATCACGGACGCCCATATCTGGGATCTGTCCATGCAAATAACAGGATTGTAAACACATGATTGCATAATCTTCAGCTTGATAATAAGTAGACAAAAGTAGCTGGGCACAGGTACATAATAGAAGTGCAGCAATTTAGAAATTTAACACGAATCAGGCATAACAAGAAATATGCAGATCATAAAAAAGCAACTGCAGAGCGGAGATGCATCAGAGAAGGCATACAAACTTTATGTCAAAAAGAATTTCGGGGCAATTTTCATGCATAGACCACACGAAGTATCTGGTCGTTGTCCTGCTGTAGCTTGAAAAATCAGAACCATGATATTTTGACCTCAAAAATTTATATTCGCGCTTCATGACAGCCTTGTAACGAGGAACACCTTCAAAAGTGAGTCTCACCTTCTCAAGAGATGAACGAGGATCAAATTTTCCTTGACGATATGCTAGCAGCTGAGACAAATCAAACAACGCTTTTCCTTCCAAGAACATCTCACCTATTACGCACCTGATATTCCAGCAAAAGATCAACAAATTCAATTACAAATGGGTGGTACTACACAGTGGCACTTGTGACATCTACTCTTATAAACACTCGAATATCAGACACTCGAATATCCCCCAGTGCCCATCGAGATGATGACCATCAAACAGCTAAGTCAATTTAATTTGAATAAAGCAATCAAGATGGACACAACCAAACGGATAACTTACCCAAGAGAGAAAATGTCCATTGCAGGCGTCAAAGGAGCATCTGAAGTCGCAATCATGTCCACATTTGGCTCATGAAACCGCTGCACCAACAATCAGAGCTGTAAGAGTTCCCATATCTTGCATTTCTTGCAAACCTGAATCTGGCAGTGTTACATAGTATAGAAAGCAAATCAGGTAAGCCATTTTATTAGATTAAAATATGTCATGAAATCTTTGGAACAAACTTGTACTAGAGCCTTGACATTCAACAATCCAGAGTATACCCGCATCACCACATTTTAATCACATATACATGTTAGATCTACATGAAATGTCCTAGTTTGTTACTTAAGTGGCATTCTCAGACAAGATCAAAGCAGACTAAAATCACAAGTACGATGAACACTAAATTACAATACCACAAGGAAAATGATAGTACCTCGGGCGCTAGATAGCAGCGACGCCGACTCCCTGTATCAAAAAAGAAGGAAAAATCGGCAGGATTGTCCTCTGGTAAAAAAGTGGGCTTCAGAGACCCATAAAAGTCTGCTAAGTATACCCAATTCCATGAGGTTACCAAGACATTTTCGCACTTAATGTCCCCTGCCACATCCGTACACTAATGATTAAGCATAAAAAGAGTGAAAATTCCATTACAACGTTTCGACAAAGTAATGGAATCATGACGCACATAGTAAGAGATTAAAGAATGATCACTCCAAAACAGAAGAAACCATTCGTATTGTATGCCAGCGGCATGTTGAACCAAGAGGAAGGTGGACTCATGCACATTAATACACACAAAAAGCACTCAAAAACAAAAAAAGAAAAAAAGAAACTAACAAACAATGAAACAAAATAAAATAAAAGACAAACACAAAAACACACACACACACATATTTCTGTGTTTCTACATCTTGCAAAACCACCAGACTCTGCATTGTGTGTCAGGGAATTAAATCAGTAATGTTTACACAGAAAAAAGTACGATGGAGAAAATCATCATCAACCCCGAAAGCCAATTAAGGTTATCGAAATGAACTGAGAATTGGCCAGTTGTATCAGCAAGTTGAGAGTAATACCATGACAAACTCCACGTTCATGACTTTGCTTCAAAGCATGCAGAAGCTGCAAAAATCAATCAATATGAGGTTCTAGAACTTAGCAGCAGCTATCTGAATGTGATCTCGAAAAATCAGCGAAGGAGGTATCAAATAACATGATGTGCAAATTATTGGAAAGAGACAAAATATAATACACTTGATGTGAAGAGGCAGCAAATACCTGAAAAGCGAGCCACTTCTTTTCGATAAGACTAAGAAATGGACGAGTGCTGATGCGATCATGCAAATTACTAAAAAAATATTGTCGCAGGAGGTAAGCCGCTTTGTCAGTCTCAAGCCAGTGCTATTACATGCCAGATGAGAAGAAAGTTAATACTGTGTCTTTCAAGATGCATCAAGCAGAGAAAGTACATCTCAGGTCCACAAACGAGGATAGGAATGGCCAGAGTAAAATAGGATGAAACAGCATATGTTGAAATCATGCAAATGTACTCAACATCGAAGACCAATATTTTAAGTTTTAAAGTGTAAATATAAACAGTGTAATGAGATCCTCACTTGGAAAGGCCAAACATGTGAATGTTCAATGTCTCTCAAACGGTCTCGAATGTCTCGTAGTTTTCTCTCATATTCCTGCACAACATATGAAGATTGTACATATGAGCATCAACAAATCAACTCCAAAATTGGCCCAGGTATGCACCTCAATCTACATCTTTGTCTAAAATTGGGATCAGCTTCAGCGGGTAGAGTAGAACTTTTAAATGCTTCGCTAATTACGCAAGGCTGCAGTAGGATTACTGGTATCACTACGATAATGTGCGATTATCGAAGATGACGGTTGAATATCAATTTGGTGTTTCATAAAGGCACCCTTAAACTGACTTAAAAAGAAGAATATAACCTTTAAGTCGAGAGATTCGCCCCGTTTGAAATAAACCTTCACAAGTAAAAGCCCCTCATCATGGACACACTGAATTGACTTCAAAAACCGGCCACCTCCTAAAGCCTCCTTCAACACCAAGTTGTACGAAGAAGGCAAGTCGTGCAGATAATACTCCGACGCAGAAACTTGCGTCGTTCGAGCTAACTTATTACCCATCTTGCATGCTTATGCTAAAAATTTAAGCGTTAGCATAATAAATTATGTTCCTGTGATCATACATGTGCTGCAAAAGTGATACAAGTGAAAAGGTTACAAAAATGATCAAGTTCATCCACATAAAGCAGTGAGGCTTACCCTAACAAAATAAATAAGAAGCACCAAATTACAACTGCATACTTAAAGTGTCGTTCAATGTTAGATTTGTGTTTCTATAACCTCAAGGCATGGATATCCATACAACGAAGCTTATACGCTATAGTTTTAAGGGATTGAATGAAGCGCTCACGTGGTCAAGTGACACAACCACAACTTTGGTTCCACGGCCTAAAAGGTTGATCACAACCCCGAATCTGAAGGGGAAAAAAAACAGTGCACTTCAGTTATATTACAACTATCAGTGAATTATTTTTACAAGCTGATGATAGAAAGAGCTCGAGTGTGCAAGTTGGACAAGACAAGAGTTGTGATCATTTTTGAATCGACACAAAGTGAACAAAAAAATCTGAAGGAGTTGGAAGTCGACAAATGTCTCTACATGTTACTGTCATCAAACATTGCATTACAACATTAATTCGCAGTACAAGCATCTACTAGAGCTACAAATACCTGAAAATGAATTGCTAACATACCAAACTCCCGGAAGCATTGAATTTCCAAACATTCGGAAGTGTTTTGGTCTAGAACGAATACAAATACATCACTCGAATCGCTCAGTGTGCGCAGAAACCCCATCAAACTTACTAACTTTCCTGTCGTACCTCAGGGTAGACATACAAAAATTATATAACTACAAGAAAACATCACCCTTGCGTAAGAAAAGAATTTCGTTCATCATCCATGAAAATTATCTCAAAATCTTCGAACCGGTTCGACGGTCCAATAGATCACACAATTGGTCTATGTGAGAATCAAGCCATGCCGAGGAAAAAACTCCCGCGCATGCTCAAGACAATTAAGTACTAGCAATGAACACTGCGAACCGCGAATCTCACCCCGAATTTAATTCACCGTCGCTCATCACAACAAAATCGAGGAAAAATTCGTAAACGCCGACTTCAAATCACGAACAGCTTAAAATTCACCACCAAGAGCCCTATTCGCGAGCTCATTGAAACCACAGAGGTGGCATCCTCGATAACTGCACCTCTAGTGATTTTATTCGGAGACGCTCTGTCCCTCACAAACTTCGTCCCGAGGTTTCCGAGCTTCCCACGCAACAGCGTCTTTGCCTCCGATCAGCGCGTCTACATCTCTCCTACGCAACATGAGTCAAATGCACAGCTCGCTTTAATGATAGCACCGATCGAATTTTTTGTTTGCAATTAGGTCATGGCATTGAATCGTGGTGAACAATTCGCGAAAGGGATGATGGGCGAGAAACCCTGAGCGAAAGTCGCCGGACGAGTTTCCTCTCCGCGCAAGGCAATTTTGCCGCAGCAACGTGGACGAATACAAAGCCGTTGTGTGCAGGTGTGAAAAGGGAGTTATTTAGAATCCATTCATACTTCAACACATCTATGCTCATCCAACAGTGCCAGCAGGGCTTGAGATGGTATCACAACCAACATGCTTGATACAATATTTGAATATCTTAACATATTGCAAACTTTAAAGAAGGGTAACATGAGTACCATTCTAATAAAAAAAAAAAAAGCATATTAATTAAAGATGACCTATCTTAACATTGATCATTTAACAACTTTGCATCTAATACCAAGATGACCAAACTTGGAGAGTATTGTGGAGACAATATTAATTTCAAATACCAACTCTAAATTCTATATCACATTATTTTATAACTTCTACTTTTTAAGGATTTAAAAAAAAATAAATTAAAAATTTATATGAATGCTTTGAAAATATATATATATATATATATATATATATATTCAAAATTTTAAAAATATATAAACAAAGTCTATAAATGTTGATTTGTAAAATCCTTAATTTTTGCAATTTTAATCATCCATGTACAAAAACTTAACAATTTTTATATACTATCCATCCTACATTTGATATGTACACACAAAATAAAATTCCAATCAATATTCTCTTTTGAATTATACTTAACTTAATGCATTTCAAGATTCTAAATTTTTAGCATAACCAACTAATTTGCTAAGGCCTAGGTTTCAATTCTACTAATTCTAAAGAACTTCAGATATTGCTACTTCATCTTATTATTTGAATGCATTGAGTGTTGTGACCACTCCATTTGACACCCAAGATGGCTTGATGTTTTTTGCCAATAAACTTGTGATCACCTTTGGAACAATGATGCAAATACATGGTTAGTAGCATTTCTTATTGAAAATCTAAACTAAAGAAAAAAAGGTCATGTAAGATTTAACATTATCTTACAAAATACAAAAAAGTCTTTGGCATTGAAGCCACTCCATTAACCACATTACCCCATAACTTCTTGAGCACACCCGTAATGACCCATCTGAAAAAAAGGAATAAATTTACTTCTTTATATCGTAAAAAAAATGAAGAATATTACGCTTTTCTCCTAAAATACTGAAAAACTTCAAAGATAATATATATGCACTTTATTCCATGAAGGGTGCACATACAAAGCTCGTGCATCACTGAGATTTTCGAAAATGAGGTTCCATGAGCAGAAATTGAGGAAAGTGCACAATACTTGCAGTTCAAAATAATCTAATCTAACTTAAAACAACAAACATTTCTTGAACGGTTCCAAGTGTAATTGGTTCATAAAATGTACCAAAAGGTCAAAAACATGATTTCGTTTGTAAGCAATGATCAAAACGTGTCTCCTGCTCGACTCTGATGCGTCTGGGTTCTACTGTGTTCGACATTAGAATGCTTCAGTTAATGTGTGAGATATAATTCTTACCGTAATTACAGTCAACATCGGGTTAAAAGAAAAACTAACAAACAGGGCTGTCTTGGGCATACTTGAATAACCAAACGACCTGAGGTATAATGATGAAATAAATACTTGTTTTTGAGATAATAACCAGTTCGGTACATACTAAGAGAAATTAGCCTCTTCTGAAACTGAAATTTGTAGGACGAGAGAGTAAATGCAGATCATGACAAGTCTCGTAAAGTGGATCTCATTCCACAATAGAAAAATGATAATTGCATCAGGACAGCAAAATACGTCAAATGATCCTCACAGCTCACCTACACAAACCATGAGGGTATCACCAGAATAACCACCATAGAAGATGACGAATGCATTTGTGGTCTCCAAACTTAAAAACTCGTCAGTTACACACAGCGTCACTTGGAAGAAACAGGTTTCGGCAAGGTTTGACTTGGTCATCTCCAATACAAGACTAGGCTTCAATAACAATATTACAGATTCTAGGATCGGATAACAAAACCTTGTACCATCAACTGGAATTAGAATCCGTTTCAGAATTCTTCGGTGACGTTACAACTCCCTCCTTGGGCGTCTCTCCTACTGCAGTGCTGTCCTGTCCTTCCTCGCCAGACTCCTTTGCCTTGGAAATTTCTGATTCGAACTCTTTCGCCGCCTGCAACAAAAAACAAAAAACAAAAACAAAAAACAAAACAAAATTAAATTAAAAATAAATAAATAAATAAAAAACAAAAAGGCATTTGATCAAACTTGGATAACGAGTGTAGAGCGGAGGAACCGAAGAAAATCGAACTGGTAGCTAACACACATCTTGTGAACTCTCATGCCATTTGACACAAAAGCAGAACCGAGGAATGCGAACAGGCTTCATCATATCGAATTTGCAACCTCTCAAAATACCGAAAAATTGAAATAGAGACTGGTATTCAAAAGATGAGTTACATCGAGGAATGTACTAAAACAACATGAGGGACAGTTCACTCCAAATTCAGCATTGCTAGGGTGTAGACGCAAAAATAACACACCCAATGACAAGGAAATTATAAGCAGGTATGAAGACACCGTATATCCCGTGCGTACCGTCTGAAAGCTCTTCACAGTTTTGCCAAGACTCTTGCCTATGGCGGGGAGCTGCTTTGGGCCGAACACAAGGGCGGCCACTCCGGCAATGACTGCAAGCTCAGGGACACCAAGTCCAAAAAGACCGCACACTTCAAATCGACCTTGCCTGCGCCTTTCGACGGGCCTTGCTGCCGTTCGCAGAAGAATCCTACCATCATTGAATGCAATGCTGGAGCTCGAAGCATGTACCTCTGCACGCAAAGGGCAATGAGCTCAGCGTCCAGTCTCACGCACCCTACGACATCACTCGTAATCACTGAGAGAACACATATTCAAGTACCAGATGAGACGAAGGCGCACGGAAGGGACATCCTCAACGATCCAGCACTCCACCTTGCCGAAGGTGCAGTCGCAGCAGCAGCACCTGTAGCAGCCAAGGGGGTGACCGCGGTGCACGCTGCAGCAGCTGCCATCGCCATAATGCTTCGAAATCCCGCAACGCAACAAGAGAGAGAGAAGCAGATTCGGTGCCGTAGCAAGTCGCTGGGGCGGGGTAAAGGGTAAGAGAGAGACAGAGAGTGAACCCCTAATCGCCATAGCCAGCCAGCCGAGGGGGTTTCACAAAGCATATCGCTGGATAACTCTTTCCAGCAACGCCCCCCGAGGGTCTGACACGTGTTCGAGCCGCGAATCTGCAATCCCAAGTTCTCATGATATATTCTGTTTTCCGGTTCAAGCTTTGCCCCGAACCGAATCCCATCTGCGGTGTGAATGAGTCCCGTCTTTTCCTTTTGCCTATTTCTTGTTCGTTCTTTTTCTCCTTTGTGAAGCAAATGTGCCAATTATGCAATTGCATGTGCTTATAACTATTTAATCAATATATATATATATATATATATATATATACTTACTAACTAGTGAAAACCAATGCCATTAGCCACAAAAGTTGTAAAGTTTTAATTTGTGGTTATTAAGTTAAAAATTGACCATTCTTTAAGAAATGTTGATTAAGAAAAAAGAAAAGAAAAAAAGAGTAAATACATAATAATGAAACCATTTATATTTTTTTGATATAATTGGCAAATATAATTGAAACTTACTTACTACATATTTATGTTCTCTAATAGAAACTTGTGTTACTAGATATTTCAATCTTTAGATCATTTATCCATTTTTTTGTTCATCCATGCTTCTTTGTGTTTCTTGGTCTCCATGTTTCCTCATTTCTATGTTTGTTTTTATGTTTTCCAAGTTCTTTGCATTATACACTCTCATCTATTACATTAATTATATTGTAAGATGACCAATTGTGTTTTATTTTTATAGAAAAGATTTTTAATCTTCTCTTTTAAAAAATCTAAATTCTATTTATATCATCCTATTCATAAATATGTTTTCTTTTCATAATAGAAGTATCCAAAAAACTTACTCTATAATATACTTTTGATAATGATAGAAAATATTCATTATAATCATATATCATATGCAAGCTTCTAAAAGCTTTTGAGTGATCATAGGAACTTCAATTTTGGATCTTCAATATATGGTGATTTTAATTTTGGATTTTATAGTAACCAAAATTGAAATCACCTTAAAATTGTTATAGGTTGCTTTCATGGAGATGAAGCTTTTCAGTCCTTAAGATTTATAAGGTTCAACTAATTACATTAGTTAAATCTTTTTTAAAGCTTATAATAAGTTTTAACTTATTTATACATAATATTTGGATTATTTAAAATATTAAATATATTTTTACATACTAATTATATATATATAGCTAGGATCCAATCATCAAGGCATATAAAATTTATTTTAGAAAATAATATGAATTGAGAGCGTATTAGATTATAAAATAAACCAATAAGATAATGAGGTTATAAAAACTAATGGAGATTTTTAATCCTTTTAAGTAAGATTAGTTAATAGTTATGGAGATCTTGAAGTATCCATATTTAATTCTAACCATTTTGCATTAACTATTATCTAAAAATATTAGATCCAATATCATATGAATCAAAAATCACAACTAGAACTATTACCATTTGTTACATTATATGGCATTGAGTGCCAAATCTCTTTAAATATATGTAGTTTGGTTTGATTAGTAATTTTTCATCCATTGATAATTTTTTTGTTAATTAACTTGATTCATATCAACTAAGGTTTGAATACTTAAGTAAAAAAAAATGTTTGACTTTACATTCTTATTAAGTCAAGTCTTGTGAGTGATTTTGAGAGTGAAAGAACTTGTTGTAAGGATTTGCTTGGCTATGGTGTTTTAGCCATTTTAATAAAGCTTTAGGATTTTTCTTATTTTTATACTTACACTGTCATGAATATACACATGTTAATTAATAAAAACTTATATTATTAAATAAAAATAAATAAAAGTAAGTTAATTCCATAATATCTTCTATAGAAGCTTTCTAGAAGCTTTATAGACGCTACTTTGACTTTATAGGTATATATAATTGATTTTTTAGGTTAGAAACATGGTCAAAAAGTTAGCCATGTGCCATACATGTTGATAACTTGAAGAACAAGCTGTCACGGACATACATATAATTACCTATATGAATAGATAAAAGTATGTAAAAGTAGATAAAAGTAGGTTAATTGTGTAATATCTTCTAGAGAAGCTTCTTAGAAGCTTCATAGACGCTGCTTTGACTTTATAGGAGTCTATAGTTGACTTTTAGGCTAAAAACTTGGTCAACAAGTTAGCCATGTGCCACACATGTTGGAAGCTTAAAGAACAAGCTAACTACGTGGTCCATCCATAGAAAACTTGCCTTGTAAGCAAAGGCATGTGGCCTAGAAAGTCAACATATATTGGAGGTCTTATAGAACATCGCCATGTGGCTTCTAGTTAGATAGTATATATAGAGGCAAGAGTGAAGCCCTCTTCACTCTTGTCAACTCCTTTCTTGCTTCTAGTCTAGTTTCAAGGGTCTCTAGTTTTCTTGTATTTTGGCAATAGCCATTCTAATTTCTTTCTTAATATACATATTTCTATTTTGTCCTATTTCTTTGAGAAAAGTCTCACTTACTCTTTAGCTTTCATCAAGTTCTTGTCCTTGACAGATTGACAAGAGTACACTTACAATATGAGAGCTTTGTCTTTTCTTGATTAAGAGTGGATTACCCCTTTTTCTTGATAAGACATAAGCGCATTAGAAGTTGCGGATTACCCTCTTTTAAACTGATATTGTTCTTAGTATTTTCTTTGTTATCAATTCCTCTCTTCTATTTGTTTTGAGGGTTATTAGACATCTTCTCTTTTCTAAGTGCTACTATGGCAGAGCTTGTTGAAATGAAGAGTGCAATGGCACAGATGCAAGAACAATTGAGGGAGTTAATGCTTGCGATGCATCAACTCAATTTACCACCACAAGGAGCAACAAGAATGGTAGGAAGTGAAGATATAGAGATGATTGGGGCTGCTTCAACATCTGCACCAAACCATGTCCCTTCTCCCAGAATGGAACACCCTTCGAGTGTTAGAGAACCGAGAGTGGCCTTGCCCGAGAAGTTTGATGGTACCAGATCCAAGTTTCGAGGATTCATCAATCAGGTCCAATTAGTGATTGAACTTCAACCCCAGAGCTATCCAACTCTAGGGTCACAAGTTAGATTCATTGGTACACTTCTTTCAGGTTCAGCATTGTCATGGTTTTCATCTTTTCTTGAACGACGAGATCCAATATTGGATAATCTGGAGGCTTTTTTGGCGGAGTTTCGATCCATGTTTGGAGAACATGATGCAATTCGTGTTGCAACCAACAAGATCCGTATTTTGCGACAAGGCAATCGATCAGTAACATTATATGCTTCGCAATTTCGACAACTTGCAACTGATATCAAGTGGGATGATGCCGCACTTGTGAGTCAATTTCTCTACGGATTACAATATGAGGTAAAGAAATTGATGCTTAATTTACCTGATCCTCAAACATTGAGTCAAGCAATTGACTTTGCTGTGAAGTACGACAATCAACTTTTTGAATTTCGATCCGAGAGTCGCACAAGTGGGCCTCAACGTTACTACAATTCAATGGCAACACCGACGTCTCCTCAACACATACCTTCAGAAGTAGAGGATATGCAAATTGATGCAGTACGTTTCAAACCTCTTACTGAGCAAGAAAAGTCTCATCGTCGACAAGAAGGATTGTGCTTATATTGTGGAGAACCTAAACACACTGCTCAACATTGTCCAAAGAAGCGACGTAACTACAAAATGAGGAGTACGGCTGTCAAAGAAGACAGTATGTCGGAAAACGAGTACGTCCAGCTACAATAGGGACCGTGCGGCTGGAATCTTGTACAACTTCTAATGAAGGTCCTATCCTCTCCTCAGAACCATCTCCTTGTTTTATAATAGATGTGCGTTTAGGACCTAATAATTACAAAGCCTTTGCCTTGATAGATTCAGGAGCCTCAGCTTGTTTTTTAGATGAAGAATTTGCTAGATGTCATAGAATATCATTAATACAAAAAACTAAACCTGTACACGTAGAAGTCATAGATGGTCGTCCGTTGTCTTCTGGAGATGTAACTCACGAAACACTTCCTGTAGATGTAGTAATAAATGGTCATAGTAGTTGCGTAATTTTTAATATAATTAGATCTCCCTCTAATCTAGTAATTTTAGGCTTATCATGGTTAGAAAAGTATAATCCTCGAATAGATTGGATTTCTCGTAAACTTGATTTTCCTCGGAGCATTGGTAACAGTTCTATTAATCAAGTAAAAAACCATGAGTCTAGTATAGTAAAACCCACACTTATAGGTGCAAAAGCATTTATACACGCAGCAAAAGAAGGATCAACTTTTACTATTTATGCTGCACTTATTTCTGAAAGCGTAAAGACTTCAAGTGGCATTCCAAGTCAATATCAGGATTATCAAGACGTTTTTGAGAAAAAGAATGCAGATATTCTTCCTGAGCATCGTCCATACGATTGTTCAATCAATCTCAAGGAAGGAACTCAGCCACCATTTGGACCAATTTACAGTTTATCGCAAGATGAGTTGGCTGAACTCAAGACATATATTGACGAGAATTTAGCGAAGAATTTCATACGCCATTCAAAATCTCCAGCAGGAGCTCCAATTTTATTCGTAAAGAAAAAAGATGGATCTTTATGAATGTGTGTTGACTATCGAGGACTCAACAAGATCACAATCAAGAACAGGTATCCATTACCTTTGATATCAGGACTCCTTGACCAGTTAAATCAAGCTAAGATCTATACAAAAATAGATCTAAGAGGAGCATATAATCTAGTACGGATCAAAAAAGGAGATGAATAGAAGACTGCGTTTCGGACCAGGTACGGATACTTTGAATACAATGTCATGCCTTTTGGACTCACGAATGCACCAGCTGCTTTTCAACATCTCATGAATGATGTATTTCGTGAATTCTTAGACAATTTTGTCGTCTGCTACCTAGACGATATCCTGATTTATTCTAAGAATGTTGAAGAACATGAAATACATGTTTGTCAAGTATTACAAAAACTTAGAGATGCAGGATTGTACGCCAAGATAGAAAAGTGTGTATTTCACACTACTCAAGTTGACTTTTTAGGATACATCATT